GTCAAGAAGGATCTGGAAGAGCCACCATCTCCCTTTCGGCCTCCTGTTTCTGTCCTGACCTGTCTGAGGATTGTCTCTGTCCACTGAATCACTGACAGGAGAGTCTCCTGATTGTGGGGAGTCAGCCCTCCTGGTGTGCAAAAGGAGTGTTGGGAAAGACAGACGAGGGCCATTGCGACAATGCCTGTGCATCTCTGTAGTAAAGCTCACAACGGGGCTTCTTGCAGACCAGAGCTGGCCCGGGCCTGGCACGCCTGTCTGAGGACTCTCTCTAGCACAGGTTGAAAATGAAGTGCTAGTGAAGGGGTATTCCAGATAAAAAGGTTTATTTAATTTGTGAGATTAAACAAATAACTCCCCCCCTCATCCCTTGCCCAGCAAAAAAAGAAAAAAAAAAAGATTGGCCCCTATAGGAAAGTTTACATAAGATAGTGAAAGAATGTGAAAGAATCCACTGTTCTGTCTGAAAAAAAAAGAAGAAAAAGAAGAAGACTGTGAAGGACAAAACTCTCCCTGAGAAATGATTTTCTATGCAGCCTACCAGATGCAGAGGGTCAACGGAAGGCTGCTTGGCTGGCAGAAATGGTGCTGAACCCCACATCAATCTAAAGAGCTTCAAAATTCAGACTGGAAGGGTTGAGTCCCGGTCACCTCTCCTCTCTTCGCTAAGATCCTTTCTCCCTTTCGATTTCTTGGAGCAGGATAGGGGGCATAGCCAGCGATGATCACAGCTTACTCCTGCTCTGCACTCAGGGATCATTCCTGGTAGGATCAGGGGATCATCTGGGGTGTCAGGGGTCAAACCCGGAGCTGGCGGTGTGCAAGGCAAACACTCTGCCCACTGTGCTATCACGCTGGTCCCAACTTCTAACTCACATACCACCTTCCTGATCTCAGCATAAACGGTTTCCGTTTCCTTTAGAGAAAGGACCGGGGCAGCCGTTCAGATGAAGGGGGAGTTCTCAGGAGTTCTTAGAGGGGCAGTATCAGGTCACAGCGACAGGAGAGGCAGCATGCACAGAAGGATGTCACCAAGTCCATCTCCTGCATCCTCGCAGGCACGTGTTGGCAGCCCAGCAGCACCCCCAAACCCTTGTGTGCATATATCTGATCCCTATACCTTGAGCCTCAGTAACACCCCGACTTCATCTGGAGCAGGTCAGGGGAGAAGCAGCCTCTGGGGCAGTAACGTGTGTTTGTGCCTTTCGTCAGACAATTCCAGCCCAAACGCTCACCTTTCCCACCTTATAGAAGGGCTTCAAGAAGGAAACTGAGGGGAGTGGGGGGAAGTTGGGCAAGAAACAGGGAAGTTGGGGGCACACCCGCAGCCCTGAGGTCTGGGATGAGGACATTGTGAGATGGGAGACACAGGCCAGTGGGCACCCACTTGATCGAGCTGAGAAATGGGGCCGTAAGATCCAACCAGCTGGGTGACTGTCCCAACAGAGTTAGGCGCCTCTTTTAACACTGTTCCTCCTCTGCCCAGGAGTCAGCCTAGGATTCCTCTTCCCCCTACTTTTTCTCTGGCTGAAAATACCTTGGGGCTGCAGAAAGCGAAACCTGGGAGACAGGTTTGAGGCATGAAGCCGCGCTGGCAGCAGTGAACAGACGAGGTGGCCAGGGTGCCACTGGCAGTCATGGGGTGAGTGGGAGGCACTCACTAGCCTGAATGCCACCTCATGCCAGCTCCCAGGGCTCCCGGCCCCTAACCTGGGGCGCACCAGACCCCTCTGTCTCTGCTCCCCATCCCTTGTTCGAAGCCCACAGCCTCAAAACATGAACAAGAACCCACACTTCCACGGTAGGTGGCTAAACACAGCCACAGCGGCCACTAGCCATGGGACTCTGCTCAGGACCTTGCTATATTTTTACTGGCTTCTTTGTTTTCCTTCCGTTTTTCTTTTATTGGAAAAAAAAAGTATTGGTTAAGAGGAAATAATCCATCACCTTAATTACACCACTTTTCACTTTTTTTCCCCCTCTTTCCTTTCATGGTTTTTTCATTTCTTAAAGCTCAAATGCCAGAGAAAGAGACACGAAGGCACTCTGTTCATCGCTCTTGCTAGATAAATAAATGAATAAAAAGCGCAACTGGGCTACATTGTTTAAAACGTGACTCATACTGCAGCCGCTTTTCATGTTCCCTCTCTCCAGGCTACTCTAGTCCTCCTGGCTTGTTTCTCCGTATTCCTGACTCATACACCCTGGCACAGCAAGTCTGTATAACCAAGCAGAAAACACAAGGCAATTCGAATGAATAGAAAACATTTCATGGTGAGAAAGAGTTTGAGGCAGGAAATGAAAGACTTCAAAATACACAAGACCAAAACGCCCTAATAAGCTCCGGCCCAGAGACCCCACCTTGAGCCCTTCCTTCAAGATTTACCCCATCTGTCCTCACGCTGGACACGGCTCCTATCCCCTGGCTGATTAATACAGGAAAGGAAAGCAGCCCGAATTAAATCAAGGCACGTGGCTACTCTGAGTGGGGGGATTCACTGTCAGCGGCCCCTAGCCTGTCTGCCCCACCACTTGATTTCTCTTTTTTGAGTGAAAAGGCACAACTGAACCCCAAGGCACTCACACCCTGGCAAGAAAGGACAGTCCTTGCGCCAAGCATGAGAAGGGCACTAGTCAATCCCTGGGGCAAACGGTGTTCCTTTTTCCCAAACAGAGAGTTTGCTCTATTCAAAATGCAGTGCACTGTGCTAAGGCCAAATGGACTATAGCCTCCCTGGGCACCCCTAAGCGCATCTCATAACTGCCTTGTAATTCTACGACCAACCTGCCAACAGTATGGAAACGGACCCTCTCCGTTCCCTGACCAAAACTCTGTTCCTCCATGACCTGGTGTTTTCTCCTGCCAAAGATGCTCACACAATCAATCCCCCAAGACAGCAATCCCTGGGCCGGCCAGTCGGTGCCATTCAGCACTGCCTTTGCTTAACCCTTCACCCGGCCCCGCTGGGAGCACACTGGAAATTCTTACCTTCAAGTCACTAAGCCCTGTGTTTACTTTGGCTAAATGAACACTGCAGCTCTGATGATGTTTTATTTATATATTTCTTACATGAGAACATGACTGGACTGTGAAGTCTCACAGTAAACACAGCCTCAAGGAGAGCACATGTGCCCTGGTTTGTTTATTCTTTGACGGAAGCGAAGCACTTAGCCACTGGGCTTGTCAGTCTGGGCCCCGGTGCGCGTGCCCACACAACAGTCATCGGGAGCCTTTCACCAGCCTCGCTTGGGAGCCGGGTGGGGGAGGGATCTCAACCACCAGAGAACCAGGTGAGCCAACAGAAGCAACAGGCTTCTCTTTCCCGGCAGAAACATTACCTTGGGTCCTGAAGGCTAGGACTTGAATTTAATTGTAATCCCAGGCACTCAGTTCTCCTTCCAATACTCCAGATTCTCCATGAACATAAATTCCAATACCAGTGCACACTGACATGCATGCATACACACTTTGCTACTTTAAAATGGCCCTGGCCAGTGTGTCGAGGGCTTCAGAGAGCCAAGTCAGGGTGAGAAAGAAAGAAAAAAAAGATACTCAGTGTCCATCTGTCCTTCCCAAGGGGGACCTCTCTCTTCCTCAGCTCTGGTCTTAGTGCTGAGGGCAATGAGTAGCAAATGAGCTAAGATGATTTGGAAGCACAGAGGGCGTGGAGGTGGCAAAGCAGGAATTCATCTCCATCTAACTAGGGGCTGGACAGATTAACGAGAGTGAAGATCAGTCTAGATTTCAGAAATAAAAATGACTTCCCTTATCTCTGAAGTGCTGTCACCTATGGGGAGAAGGCCCACCGGTGCAAATAAGGCATGGATGGCTGTTCTCACAATGGGTAGCAGCCACGGGCATAGGAGAACTCCCTGTCACCTGTCACTGGGCAGGCACCAGTGTCTCTGAGTGCTCATGTCCACTCAGGCCAACTGGAGCAAAGTGCTCTGAGCAGCTCTGCATGGAGAACCTGGGTGGGCCATCTGGGGCCTCAACTGCTTGCACTGCAAAGAGCATAAAATGCAAGACCCAAGGGGATGCAGAGTAGAACACACCCTCAGCCAAGGCTGCAGGCCCCCCTGCCTAGCCCCTGCATGAAGCCACCCATCAGGCTCTTTTCTCTTAGCTCTGCCTTCTGGTTGGTTCTTCATGGGAGGGAATAAGTCCTCTGCTGCGACTCAGTTCTGGGTTTAATATTCTTGTTATAATTTTAACATTTGGGTTTTGGAGCCACACCCGGCAGCATGCTCGGCTTAGTGCTGGCTCTGTGCTCAGGGATGGATCATTCCTAGCAGTGTCTGGATTGGCCACGTACAAGACCAGTGCCTGACTCCACGGACTGTCTCTCCCGCCTTCAGTTCTGAATGGGAAGTGCATGAGTTGAGCCCTCAAATCTGCCTCCTGGTCTCTGGGTCAGACACCACCTCCCACTTTTCCTGCTTCGGAGGGTCCCTGTGATTCTTCAGTTTTCTTCCCTCACAAAAACTGCCTGCCTCTGTCCCTCACTGAGGGCTGACAGAGACTGCTGCCTTGGTACCCTGCAGCTGGAAAGAAACCATCTTCAGGCCAGAATAAATCATTGCCACCTCATTTCACTTTTAATTTACTAGTGAAAATTTTTGTTGGTGGTGGTGTTCAGTCTTCCCGCAGCCTCTCCTTTCTCACCACTCATGCATTTTCAGCCTCATTGCTCCCCGTTGGACAATGCAGGGCTGAAAGGTTTATCTGTACCCTATTTGTCTCTATTATAGGTTTCTAAACTTTAATTAAACAAGAGACTTGAGGATCTCCAGCCCAACTTTCTCCAGCCTCTGCTGTCTGCTGATGTTGTTGGTGCCATCTAGTGGCAGGAAGGGGTGGCGTAAAACCAACTCTTGCGACATTCATCCTGTCAGAGGTTCAGCCCCTCCACCAAATCACATCAATCACATGGGGGGAAGGAAAATGCATGCAAAAAATAGAGAAACATATATATATTTTTTACCTTTAAAATTCTCACCTGCAAAAGCTGAGATGGGTTCTGGAAAAGAAGAAATGAAAAAATTGAGTTAGATTCTAGGAAGCAAGAATCTGGCAATGAAGGGGTGATAAAGATGACTTCTGCACTTTTGGGGGGAGGGCAGGGGAGGTCATACTGAAAGTGTCTCACCCTCTCCACAGGCTCTAGACCATGTCTAACACATCGTCATTGTGGGAGCTGGTGGTTGGGAGACATTCTCCAAGTTGCTTTGGAACAAAAGATCCTTTATAGAGTAACGGGTCCCCAAAGCATTGTAATCAGTCATTTACCACTGATTACTTTCTCAGAGCTGGGATTACTTTGAGATGCCCGGGGCCAGAGAGTTGCCTGAAAGGGACTAGGGTGGTCCCAGATGCTTCTGACATCATCAGGCTCTGACACACACACACACACACACACACACACACACACACACACACACCCCCGGGATCCCACGCCAAAAAAAGCACTCACAGTTATTATGGTCCCTTGGCTGATGGAGACCAAGCCTTGCCCCTTCCTACACATTCCTGTTGCTTTGGGGAATGTGTATGAGCTGGTCTGGGTACCAAGAGAGTCACTGGGGCACCATGCATGCATCTTAGATGGGCTGACTTCTCAGAGCTTGTGTCTAAGTGAACAGGGATGGGTGTCCTCCCTTTCCTGTTCCCCTGGTAGGCAGGACTTTATCCAACTACTGCCCTAGGGTCTTGGGTATGAGAAGTGTTAGCTTTAAAGCTGTACTAAAATCCTGCCTCACACACCACTGGTCGCCCTACAATTCACTCATGGGAAAGAGCTAGTTGGGTTAATTGTGTGATCACTCCAATATAACTTATGCACTATTTTTGCTCACGAGTGAAGGGCTTCCATTAAATCCGCCCAGCTTTCCCAGCATGTAATTCTGACTGGCAGTTGCTCTCGTCCTCTGGCATTTTCTTTGCTTAAAAGCCGGAGTCAGCTGATGAGGCCCCAGCACCCCAACTCTTGATATATTTAGTTCACAGCCCTTGATGTCTTATTAATAGAGTCACAGAGAGACAGACATTCACGTACCCATACAGTTCTCCAGTGGGACGTCGGTGCTAATTCGAATGTCATCAATAGCAATTTCTCCCGAATGTCCTTTTCCAATAACGCCTTCAAATACAATCTAGAAGCCAAAAGCACAAGAGCGGTGGTTAACTGAGCTTCCTCAGACAGTGCAAAGATTTTTCCAACCTCCTATTAACTGTAGTTTCAAATGTGTGTGTATGTGTGTGAGTTACTATACACCTGGCACGCATCTGTTGGCCACATGGCTATGGCACTTGAGATCTTAATTTAAAAAGAGTTGGTTCCAATCAAATGCATATTTGAGGGGATAAATATGTATATAACAAGGTGATGGATATTGTTGTCCAGTAACGAGAATGTATTGATCAAAAGGACCACAATCAGGGTAAGTTTACGGGAAGGCTGAGATTTCCCTAGCAATTCTTGAGGCTGTTTTCTCATAAATCGTTCAAATGACCAAGGCAGGTATTTGAAATCTAGGTGAACACAGCAGGTGGGGGTGAGGTAAGCAGTATATAGTCCACAGGTTTGGAGGGTCCTGGATGGGAGTGGGGGTGAGAAGGCAATGAGGTCTTACTGGGGTATTCCAACCAGGAGGGGAAGTGATTTACCCTGAATAAAACCTGATAGGACAAGCCCCCATGGCTAGAGAAACTCACCACAGAGGGGGTGAGGCAAAAAAAGGCAAAGGAGAGTTTCCAATTGAAGGTACTCAGGTTTTAAATTGGGAATGCATGGCAGTTGGGGTCGAGGCGAGGTGCTGGGCGGGCGGTGCTCTCTGGTGTTCTTCCATCCTGGAGAGTGACCACAGTCACACACAGAGAGATCTTCGCTCTGTGGTCTCCAAGCATTCCTCACTCTTGCCCTTCCCAGGTTCTCTCTGCAAACTAGCACATGTCCTCTGGCAAGCGGAGCAAGCAGTTGGCTGCTGCCGCGGCCATCTGCCGCTGCTCCTCATCTGGGGAGGAGCAGGTTAATGCTTTGGCTGGTTCTCAGTCACCTCTTCCTTTGCATGTCTCCTTCTACCCAAGTTTCAGTCAACTGTGCATACCCATCTGCGCCTCAGTCTCTCTCGCGGTGGGGCAGAGATAAAAGAAACTCAACTTGCACAGGGCTGAAGGCAGAAGTGACGCATTTCCATCTCTCTGGTCTGCTGGTCACAGTGACCAGCACCTCCACGCCTGGCCTGGCTGTGTTCACATTTGCTAGAAAGGGTCTGGGCAGCAGTCCTCCCCTACCCGCTCCTCCTCCTGTGGTCTGAGGGGCTCTCCCCTAGTCTGTAAAGGGTTTGTTTATGTTCCTTCCCCTTAGCTTCTGTGTCCCTTTGTGAGCTTCCCTGATAGCAATCTAAACTCCAATGAAGAGAAGAAACATTTGTTGGAGAAGATTTCTACAATATAAAAGGCAATAGGAGGAACAAAGACCCAAGTCTGGGTGGAGAGATAGGCACATTCTGAATAACAAATAAGAGTGTCATTTAGTTGCCATGGCAACCTGTGGAAACACAATGAAAACAGCAGTGCTTAACCACGTTCTCTAATGATGAATGGGCATGGCCCTTTTGAAATACTGAAATGCGGGTGGGTAGGATGGCACCCACCGGGTACCTGAGGTGTGTGTGTTGGGGGGCGAGGTGGGGGTGGGGGAGGGGTGCATGGAATCTTCACACCATCATCACACCTGATACTCCATGTCATAGCTGGGCAGGGTGACCCGCCCATGTCTCCACTCGCTGCCCTGGTCCTCGCGGATCATCCAGAGAAGTTTGCTCTCCTGGCTGGCTTCGCGCACCACCTGCAGCGCCAGCCCGCGGCTGCCCGTGGCTTGGTACTGGAACTCCAGGCACACGGTGCTGCGGGGCAGGTGCACGGGCGGGCTGATGAGGCGTGCGTACTGGCCCTCTCTCCTGCTGTCACTCTGCAGCCGCAAGAAGTTCCGGTCATCTGGGTGGACACAAAGCCAAACAGGTTTCTGGTGAATACTTGCGGAAAGTCACCTGTAGGCAGTTGGGGTCAGAAATTGGACTTTTACCTCGTTCTTGTTCTTCAAAACCCTTTAGTGCCTGAATCCCAATGCTGGAAGCCTCATCTTTTATCTCTTCATCCTCTGTCTTCCTGCCTATTTCTCTGCCTCACTTATCTTAGCACCACTTATCCACAGGGTACTTGGTACCTTAAGTGTTGTTGGCTTGCATCTTCCAGGATTCTAGATAGAGGGTCAGACCCCAAGCTTATTCATCATGGCATACCCATAGCAGCAAGGCAGTCTAACAAACTGAAATCTAAGGGAGCAATTTCTAGATGTGAGACCCCATGACTTGATTGCCAGACTGGCCAAGTGGTTTATGTATGCTTCAAGCCTTTGTCATCTTGGCTGAACTCTGTCCAAATGAAGGGTATCTAAAACCCTCTCTCCTCTGAGATCATGAGAGGCCTGGACTCCGGTGACCACTACTCCAAAGTCCAGCATTGACTTCAAATAGAACCTGCATTGATGACTGAGCAGGAACGGTGCAGGCGGGTGACAGCCCTGTCTGGAGAGGATTAAACTTGGCTTTCTGCATAGAACCAGACCAACACAGCTAAAATGATAACAGGCATTGTTATCAGTGCCCATAATAACTATCTGTGTTATCATAGGCACATGCCTAGCAGAGAAGCTAGGCATGTTGGAAAATTATGGCTGTCCTCATCCAAAGGTTTGGGAATCGGCCTTCTGAATGAGATAAGGTGTGGAGGCCTATGTTCCTACTTGTTGGCAGACCCCAGGCCTTTCCCAGTGAGAACCTGCACCTGCAAATCCTACTGTGTGGGAGGAGGCTGGCCATGGGTGTGAGAAGAGGCATTTGTGAGGGAAATCTGTTTTTTTTTTTTTTTGGCCTTGAACCATCTTATGCAGAACATTTCTGCAAGATGGCAGAACATGTTGGCACCAAAGTCCTGGAAGCTTTTCTCCTTCTCCTTCTCCCCCTCCACTTCCCTCTTCTCTTCCTTTGTCTCCTTCTTCTCCTCCCCTTCTGTGTGTGTGTGGAGGGGTATGGGACCAACCTGGCAGTGTTCACAGGTTATTTCTTACTCTATTTTCAGTAGTTACTCCTGGTGGTGCTCAGGGGACAATGTGGGGTGCTGGGGATAGAACTGGGATCAGTCACATGTAATCCATGTGCCTTCCCTGTGTACTATCTCTCCAGACCCATCAGAGAGCTTTCTTATCCAAAGGCACTGTGAATAGTCTGGGCTTATCAGGGAAGGACAGAGGGCACTTGGGGCTTCTCTGGATCTGGACCATAGTTTGTTGATTCTTCTAATATCCTTCTAGTGAGTCTGAACCTAACCTCATCCTTTTTTCGGGGCCTAGAAATAGTTCCCTCCCTTCTCCCACCTTTATTTTCTTCTCTGTTTTTCAAGCCTCTTTGGAGGTAGGTTCTCCACCATGACTTCTCCAAAAGCTATGCCCACTGGTGTCAAACTAGACAGTATTAGGATATAGGGATGGGATCACAATCTGTGTCTCCTCAACATCCAAGCCAGGCTGTTCCCATATCCCACCACAGAGTCCTTTTCAAAGCCAAAGGAGACCAGATACCCAGGTCACTGTCTACCAGAGCATCTTAATGACGGTGACCTAGAAGGCAGAGACAGTGGTGTCACAATCAGACACTCAAAACGCTTCTAAACAGAAGATCCCCCCACCCCGGTCTTATTACTTCTACTATTAATGATGATAATCATGTCATAGTTGCATAGCGCTTTCTAAGTTAGAAAACACCTTGCAAGCATTATTTCACTCAAGTCTCACTGTATGCTTGTGATCTACGTCTCATTACTTGGTACATAAAGAAGAAACAGTGTCACTTCCAAGATGGGGAAGCAGAGCAGAGAGGCAATGGTTTCCTCCCTTTGCACAGTGACTTCTTCACTTTAACTGGGTCCCAAGTACCTTGCCCTATGCCCAAAGCAAACTGGCTGCCCCTGAGGTGTCCTGATCCCTTTTCTCCTACCTGTAATCCTGCTCTAGTCTCGTCTCAGCAATCCATCTCACTTGCTAGCTCTTCTCTTAACCGTTCTGACACATGCACCATTAATTTCCCTCTTCCCTGAGCCACTAGAGCATCTACTCTCTATACCACTGATTTGACCTTGTTTCTAAAAAAAAAACCTTGAGGCCATTTTTCATGCATGTCAGCAGGTTACCACCCACTGCCTTGCACTATCATTGAACTGTCTCACTGTTAGGAAGAGAGAGAGGGCAGGGAGGAGGTTCTGGTTTTACAAGTACAAGGGTTAATATTGCTTCTGCTGCTCCTAGATAGTATCACCTATACACTATTCTTCAGAAAATTTGGTTCCAGTGAATGAATAAATGAATGACAAATACAAGGGTCAGGGGTATTCCAAGGCTCCATATTGGAAACAAGGATAGATGGACAGTCAGTCAATTACAAATATCTCCTCAGAGGTCCTTCTCACCAACAAACCATTTCGGCGGTGAGGAAACCAAAGAATAACAGAGCACCTGGTGAGCCATCAGCCATGACCACCTCTATGACTGTCTGGCCCCCAACATGCAGGTTGTTCTGATCCCACGTGCCCATTATTTTTAAGTCCTTGCTTTTTCCTCCTTGTAGAGAAAGGAAATCGTATTTTTTAGGGATTAATATTCAGCCTTCTTCCTTCACAGTTTCACAAAAAAGACCCACTCGCTGCCTGAAAATTGCCTGGCAGAAATACTGTCACTTGTGTGAATTTACATTCTTAAGCAGCAGGGGAATCACAGCATCACGGTTAGAATTTAGTCAGTGAAATGTGTGTGGCGCTGTCAGGAGCTGGGTTGATTGGATTTGTATCTGGGTCTGTTCTGTTTACCCATCCTGTGACGAAAACTTTAGGCCCAAGGAGGCCCAAGGTTTCACCGACTGTCTCTCCGGGCTCCCAGACAGCTCCTCGCCTCTCCTTGAAGCTCCCTCCCTGGCCTTCCCCTCCCCCTCTCAATAAGATGATAATCACTAGGCATGATTTAAAGGTCCACTGGAAGACTGGGGAGTTAATGCCGGTGGCGTGCTAAGCACGAGCAGCTGAAGGATCATAATTCAGTGCTGACATCTGAGCTAATCCACTAGTTTGCAGAATCTCAAGACAAGCAGGCCTCTGCATTTCACTTAGTTAAATCATTTGTGCCCCACTTGTCTGGTAAGTGCTAGGAGCTCAAGGGAAGAAAGATGATATGTAAATTTAAGGAATTAGCAGTAGACATCAGTCAGGGGGAGATGCTGAGATGCAAGACTTGTCACTGAGTGTGGCCTGATTCAAAGCAGGACATCAGGAAGGTTCCTACCAGGAACAGCCCTGGGGCAAAGGAAAGGGGGAGATCCACTGTGTGCCAGGCATTGTGCTGGGGAGGCCTGGATGGGGGGACGAGGTGCCTTCTCCCAGGGTCTCTGTGAAATCTAGTTGTTAGGAAATAAGTGATTCTTTTCTTTCTTTAAAAACAAATTTTTTTTAATTGTCTGTTTTTTAGGCCATACCTGGCAGTGCTTTGGGCTTATTCCTGGCTCTGCACTCTAGAATCACTCCTGGCAGGCTTGGGGCATCACATGGGATGCGGGGATCGAACCTAGGTCAGCCACATGCAAGGCAAGCTCCCTACTCATTGTATTATCTTACCAACCCTGTTTTCCATTTTAAATCCCTAGAGATATAGAAGCTCCAAGAACTGAAGCAGTTTCAGAGACTGTTAGCAACAGAAGTAGTGTGTGGACAGAGCAAAATCGCTGATGCATGGCATTCCTCAGGGCTGGCACCCAGGCCCAGTGCTCCCTAACCTTACGTAGCTCGGTCTTTCCATCTGTAGGCTGGGTGCGATAAAGCAGGGCTGCCTCAGACCCATGGGGAGTAGGCAGGAGGAGAGGTGTAAAGCGATTCACATGGTAAAGAGGAGCCAGAAAACTCAAGAAAAGCCCGCAAGCATATGTGCTAGGCTGGTCACCAGACACAGTACCTCCAAAACTCACCTTTATAGTAACTGAGAAAAAAGCAAGGCAAAAAAAGCATCAATAGTCTGGGAAGGCCAGTCGGGGACTCCAAAGGAAGTAGGTACGGCTTGACCTCAGTGCAGTAACCACGTTTACCAGAGTAAGACAGTTCTCAGACTCATCCACACCTCAGAAACCAGGCAGCTCCCTGTTGTGCATGGGACCCTGCTTACCACATGTTTCCTGCCAATCTGCCGTGGAGGAAATAAAATAATGCCTGATCCCGGAATGCACGTGGGATCCCAGGAGACAGCCCTGAGCAGGGCAGCCCTGCTGCCCGGGAAGTGCAGGGAGAGCACGCGGTGAGAACAGCTGTCCACGCCTTGCTCTCAAGTCTCCAGAGAAGGGGCTTCCACAGGCCATGTCGGCCGTGTGTTTTCTGGGTCATAACCCTAACTGTCAGGAACATCTTAGAATGGGTTTTAAGTTTGTATGCTGTCATGTAGACACATGTCCTCCTCCTAGCCCTGATGGAGCACAGCCAGTTTCTGTCCTCTGACTGAGGAACGTTTTCAGTCATGAGGAATTAAGAGGCTCCATTCACTTCCTCAGGAAACACAACCCTTGCCCCTTGAAATGTGCACATTCCAGGCCTTGAAGGGGTTAGATCCCCACGAGTCCTTTTTCAAACTAAGAGCTTTAGGATTTTTTTCAGTCATGGCACCTGCATATGAGCTGAGAGTGAAACACCCGCTGTAAGTGAAGCTGATACTTCTGGAACATTGCAATTATGGCCCACCACTGCCAAGCAGAGGTAGTTTGAAGCACACAGCAACTGTTGATTACTCGACACAGCAAAGGGTTGCCACGGCATGGGGCTGGAAGTCAACTGATTTACCAAGACTTAAGGAAAAGTCTTCTGGATGGGCAAAGAAGTTGACAGAACATGACACCTGACCGGCTGAGCACCAA